GTAGTAGTAGTAGTAGTAGTAGTAGTAGTAGTAGTAGTAGTAGTAGTAGTAGTAGTAGTAGTAGTAGTAGTAGTAGTAGTAGTAGTAGTACGACAATTGATCTTTATGTTAATTGTAAGTGATCTAGTGACGGACGAAAATAGATATCGGCCAAATGTTAATTCCACTACAGTCATCCACTGTCATGCCCAGATTTGGAAGATGAAAACTGACAAGAAGTATTATCATGTGTGTAATTAAGTAGTATAATTTTCTCTTAAACTTATTATTCCTGTATCCAAAACAGTTGTCAGGTTGAAATAATGAGTCATATCGTCAAATTTCTTCATCATTTTGTTTTCTGTCTCAACTTTAATAATGAGATGTTCTATTATTTTTTAACATAATTATAAAATGTTAATTTACTCTTTTACAAATTCTAACATCGAAAATCAATTTCATGTGTCCGGACTTAAACGATTTTTCTGATTTCATAAAGTTCATTTTTCAGATTTTTATTAAATCTGTAAAAGAAAATAAAGTAAAAGAATACTCTAATAAAGTTTTCCGGATTCAATTGTACATATATTGCTATTGATTCACACATTTATGAAACAAGATATTCTGTATGATACCTTTTAGACTATAGCCTAACAAAGTATACTTTTCAACACTAAAGACAAGATAAAATTCGATTTTATTGAGATTAATTTTTCAACTACTCACAAGTAGGTGTGCTTAAAATGTGATATTATTAATCTATACCCTTGTTATTAGTATAGGCTTTGTGGAGATTTTTGAGTCTCTTAGTTCTCATCACAGATTAGCCTTAGTCGGACAATCGACCAAATTCAGTAAGAAGTAGATAGATATTTAGTCCTGAAATTTAACAGTGGGCATCCACAACCTCACCAGGAATTGAACCCAGGACCTTCGGTCTTGCTGCACACACTTAACTTTCAAACTTTGCAGTAGGTATTCAACGGATTACATGTCTAATAATAGAGAGAAATATTCATTCAATCCTCCTTGATTTCCACTTTTAGTTTAAATAAACTTAGTCCGTGATGTAAACTAAGAAATTATCTCATGATGTCAATTTTGACATCACGAATGTCAGTACTTAACCAACATAACTGATTAGTAAAGTCATATCAATTATCACAAATAATTAGCTTTTCATCAAAATTCATTGTGCCAATAATCTAAGCGGTTTACAACTAAACGATTTCATAAAATCAACGAAATCACTTCCTCATCATAATCGGATTCAAGGTGAAATAACAGCCTGTGAAATGTACATGAAAATTTTTTTCAGACGATAAATGCCTATGTGTTTTTGTAAAAACAGAGCTAATTTACAAACTGTTAATATGACATCATAATATACAATTTGAAGCGTTTATAAAACGTGATCGTGTGAATATAGGTTTTTGACCATACATATATAGTGTAATTTGATAACAATTAAGTTTCATTATCTAATTAACTGTTACATACTTGTTATTTGAAACTTGTTTTAAATGTTCTAAAATGTAAATGTAGAGAAATATGCCTGATGTATAACATGAAAGCTACGTTATAGGCACATTTAAGTTTTATATATGATGAATATTAGTTTTAGATATACTCATTCCAAACAATATACAGATTGTGTATCTTCAGAAAGGTACAGAATTCTTAATTCAAATATCAAAATATTGAAAAAAATGAAAATCCCACAGATGTGATAAAATTACTAAGTAGGTTAACTAATAATATATTGAAATGAGATAATGCAATTTAAGCATGTTTAGGCCTTATCGCTTCAATCTAGACTGTTTCACCTACTAACCTGTTTTATTTAATGGATATGAGATAAATTATATAGACATATAGAGTTAAACGATTCACCAGAGTTTTTAATACTTGTGTGGTAGGCTTAAAGGATTGAGCGTTTCTGTCCAGCCTGTAAAAAAACGAAGTCTAGTTCTCTTGAAAACTAATATAAAATTACCCTTAATACAGGGTATATTTATACTTATGAATAAAGTAATCGATCCTATCAATGGTCATATGCTTGCTTCAGACAATAAACCACATGTGTAGAAGTACACACATTGAAATAGTGAAAGAAGATCAACTTGAAACTTTTATTTTTTTTCTTTAATTTCAAAACATTTACTGTAGCATTTTTGACTTATGGAATAAAATTTAAAAAATTATTTGTGTTTAACAAAATTAAACAGGTGAATTCATTAGAAAAATAAATCCATAACATAAATAAAACTACATTATCACTATGGATTTAAATAGTAATTGCGAGGATAACAACAAAATCATAATAATATTATGTTCATGTCAACATGATTAGGGTTTGTAGTGAAAGTAAACTGCAGAGCTAAACCGATAAGATCTGACAGATCAAATCTTAGATTGTTCATTGATATTCAAAGGTCATTGACGGATTACTTGGAAATTATCAATGAGCTGTGTAAGAAATTGGTAGAAATTACTAATATGTAGCTACTTTGATAATAAGAAAAATAACGATCATGACAAAAACAAGTAACAGAAAAAACTTGACCAACTGTTAAAATGACGAAATATTCATCAGTATTCCAGAGAAAAAAACGATTTAAAGTTCAGATGGCATATCAATAGGGGTTTATGGATTTTTCGGAGTAATTTGAAAGTCTTCGAAATTTAAATGCAGACAACCATTTGCATAAGTACTGATTAATATAAATCCAAAGAATTCTGTTGCTCTAGTCCTAACGTCAAGACTTGATTCTTTTTTATAAGGAATAATTGTCATATCAGACAGAATTTGTGGGAGGTTGAGTTGTCAGAACTATCCTACGGGAAATTAATGCCTGTTTTATTATATAATTATTACATTCTTAGATCGTATATTAATACTTTCCTGTTTCTAGACTGTTTAAACAATATTTAACAATTCGATCGCACAGGCTCTAATAAAACGCAAGCACTCGTTTATTTTACGTTTATATCAATAATTCAACGTGTAAAGAATCATTAATCACGTTCATACTGTTTATTCGTTCTAATTTTATTACAAATTGTTCTATAACTAAACTCTGGTTTTTGATCAGCTGATAAGTCGCTCAAGGTCGCCTGTATAGTTTACTTCTACCTATTTATTTAGTAACACGGTATTTGTCAGGTAACAAAAATCAGAAAAATACTTCGACATATTCTGAATATGGTATAGCAAATAAGTAATGAGTATAGTAAAACGAACATCAACTTTCAAGATTTTTCAGTATGATAAGGAATGTAATATTAGTTCCTTTGCTATGTTATTTATACTGCTAAACCACTATCAAGGGGATAACATAAATGAGAAAGATTTGACTCTTATTCTTTGTTATACTAGCACGAAATTGTTTTATTAGTCACACAAGAACAATGAACGAAATACATCATAAGAAATTAGCCAAAATATTTTTAAACTCAGTTGCTTTATGAAATTTTTCTACTATTACACAATTATTTTAGTCACTGAATCATAAAAATAACTAACGTAACCCAACACAACTTGGCTTTCATTATTATATTTCCCATCAAACATCATTTGGGATTGACTGTTAATTTGGTTAAGTATTTTATCGCCAAGACAGAAATTAGCCTACGTGAAATTATTTACCAGTGATCAGTAGTCATTTGTTGATAATGTATTTTGATCCAGTTAAAACATAAAATGGAATCCTAATATAATTGTTTATTATGACTTAGCGTATATATTCATTGAATTCTGAAATTATAAGGAAGAATACTTTTTTATCACTTTGTATGTTAATCTTTGTAGTATAATAGTGAATTGTAATTCGATATATCAAGTTAAACGTTAAGCCTAAATGTGATCAGGTAGCACAATTTTGTGTTTAATCATAATTATGACTATGAAATAAAAAACCATGCAGTGATGACACTGTATTTAACTTACCCTGGTTTCAGTGTTTACTGATTTAAATCTCACTATATTTATCTCATTTCGAACAATAATTTAATATTCCCACGTTGCCTGATAAATGTATGGTTCAAATCCGGCCTCACAAATTTGTACTTAGTTACAGATTTACATACTAATTAAATAATGAACTAAGGACTGTTAAAGTGATTGTTTGACTAATTGTTATTTAAATTTTCCAGTGTCTCACATTTCTTTCTTCACAGATATACTCAAAAATCAATTTTCGAATCTCGCAGGAGGCGAGGAGGAGTCCCACAATAGGACAAAACAGCCGTCCAGTGCTTCCAGGATTTCCATGGTGATCTAGCTTCAACTGACTCATGATCTTAACCATTGAAATTACTATAATATCCACAAAACCACTTCTGAGAATAAATATGTAATAAGAAAGTATATTTTGAAAAAAAGAAAGAGAATCATTTGTTTTCATCAGTATTTTATAGATTTATCTATAATTGATACAGGGTAGTAATCATTTATTGTTTGGACATTCAATATAAAAAAAACCAAATTCTTCATAGGGTATTTTCTTTTATATATGAGCAAATCAAATAATGAATAGAAAAATTTCATAGAAATATATAAGAAAATTAATAAATAGTAATTAAAATAATCAAACAATATGTAAAATAAACTCGATTGTTTCTATGAACTAATAAGATGCTTCTATATTATGGTTTTCTTTTATTAGATGTTATCTGGAAATGAAAATATATCAATATTAACGATTATTATATATTGAAAGAACATTCGAGAAAATAGCTTTGTCTTCAAACACTATAGTTACAAATTCATAATCATAATGATAAAATGAACAATATAAGATATATGTATATAATCTATGATTGTGTTAGTTAGCTTTATATATTAGAAATACGAAATATTAAGTCTATTGCGTTTTGAACACATGAAATAAACCATTAATGAAGTTGAAAGATCAGATAAAAATTGAGAAACAATTTGTGATCCAAATTGGTGTGTTATGGTTAAATCATGTGAATCCGATTTACTAAAGAGTAAATCAGAACACATACAAACAAAGAATATTATGTTTAATTAGATCTACTCTATATTAGGGTAAGGCCTAAGTGAGCAAAATAAAATATCACAGTAACTGCGACAATCGTAATGACAAAACAATGTGGACTACGAAAAAATAAATGTAGTCAGCATTCCTACTCTCTCTCTCCATATATATATATATATATATATATATATATATATATATATATATATCTTGATAAGATATATTAGTTCAGTTTATGAAATACACTAATTAATAGAGAAGAACTGTAATGAAGTCGAATTGTTTATTTTTAGAAGAAATATCATTCTTATTTATTTCAATACTGGGTTTAAGCAAACAAATAAACTTATGTTTCAGATTTGGTAAAAACCAAATAGGTTGATTTGAATAATCCATAAGTTATGTTGATTAAGAAATTTAAATTTTCTTAATTCAGTCTAAATATAAGTCAAAATCTAATTGAAGAATAAGAATTTAGATTTAATATTCGTTTAATGATGATATGAATTCTGTTTAAAGTGTAATATTTATCACTCTTATAAGAAACTGATAGAATTACCAAATGTGGATGCATTCTTCCAAGTGAAAACAAGTGGTTATTGGCAGATACTCAGAAAAGAAATCATACTTACTTTTTTCTTTTTCTCTCCTTACTGTGCCAGTATCCATAACCGAAGTAGATTGTGAAACCTAGTTATGAAAGTAAAGAAGAATATACGTCTGTAATTAACTCTAGAAAAATGGTGAAATATTTGTGCTAAAAGATGTGAATGTACGTCATATGTTATCTTCTTGTGATAAATCTTTATTTCGAAAACGTTTTGTATAATTTGATAGCTTAAATTAGTGAATTTATGTTATTTGATGATTTAAGCGTTTTAACAGTAAAACATCATGGTAAAAATATAGATGAATCATGGAGAATGTACTATGAAATCACGCTAAGTGCCCTTTTTTACATTTTTGCAATCCTATATTTTTAATACACCCAATTTATTCAGTTTTCGGTTCTTTAGGACATTATGCATTCAATAATTAACATTATGATCACATGGATTATTTGATCTAAACAGTTTTCTACGAGAAAATTGGTAAGACATCTCAAATATAAAAAACGTAACACACATTATTATATTGCATCCGTAAACTCATGTAATCTAGTGTGTCGCTGATGCTAAAATTTGATTTCGATGAAACATTCATTTAGGTTTGATAACAATTAGCTGTATTTCAGTACTAGAAAATGTGAAACCTGGTAGGAGGTATGTAATTTCATTTTATATCGATATAAACAGATGCAGAGAATTGACAAGATAAAAAGCAAAGGAAGATGAATAACACTATTACCCGTAATGGAAGACTAAATATAAGAAAGATAATTCAAAGGTAAGTAAATTATATTAAACGCAAAGTAAGGAATGATGGTAAAAACAAAATTTAGAAGATAAGTAGTGAATGTATCTGTGGCACTGAAAACCAATTAAAATCAACCACCATAAATTACGATGATATGGTGTGAGAGAAAATAAGCATCTCTCAAACACAGTTCAAGTTAACTATTTGATTTGTACAGTACTAATTAAGTGTAAAACCTCCTTGGTTTAAATTAGTTTCAGATAATCATTAGACCATTATAAGAACAGACATAATAAAATCTATTTTGACCAGTCTGATCCTATCGTGGTTATCGTAAAATGATTTTGGTCCTTTCCTATAAGCTACGATTATCAGTTATTGCAAACAGTCCCACGGCCAGCTCCTGAACTTAAGTTGATATCTTAGTGTTGAACTATAATTACTATAAATCTACGGGTCTGTTAATTATGTACTTAGTTAGCATCGTCCTTTTTAAATCAACTAAGAGTTGGAAACGGGATACCGATCTTTCATTCGTATCTATCATCTTGAAGAAACTGATACTTATTGTGGGATTTGGACCCGAATCACTTTACGTCAAGATTTTCAAAACGCTTCAACAAAAATAATAAACTGATTACTTCCGACTAACTGAATATAAGACTAGTGGTTACTACTTTCTGCTAGAAGCAATAAATGACATGCCATGATTCTCACTTATTTCAATGGCCAAATGTTAATTCTTAATGTCGATTGGACTGATTTCACACTTTCCAGAACTTATTTAAAATCTTGAGTTGTTTCATACAAAAAATATTATTTGTGTGAATGTTCTTATAAGAATCGATAATTTCTCCAAGTTTAACAAGACAATTATTGATCGCAGTTAGACATTAACACCGTCGAATTTCGGCTCAGTGTTCCAGAGGTTAAGCGTTCGTTCGCGAGACTGAAGATCTTGGGTTCAAGTCCCGCATACGAGATCGTGGACGCACACTGCAGAAAGGTTCCCTACTAGAACAAGACGGCCGTTCAATGCTTCGAGGTTTTCACTAGTGGTTTTGCTTAGGTCGACTCATGAATTCAACGATTAAAAGTCATAATTTTGTTTGTAAGAAGGGAACGTATTCTGATATTCAAAATAAAAGTTTACCTCAAAATCATATGTATTCACTGAATCTATAAGCATAATGTATGTAAACAATGAAGTAAATAATGTGTGCTTACTCCTCTCACATCTAAAGAATTTTCCCTCCCTCAGTAATCTCTTCATACTCGTGTGAATGAAAATATCAGTAAGTTAGTAACCAGATGTTTGCTATCTTAAGAATTTGATAATAGAAAAACATTCTAAATATATATCTTTACAATTTATGAGTAGGTTCAAGTGTTCAAAGACAGGTAAATTTATTAATCACTTATCAAATGATATGAGGCGTATATACCATTATATCTATTTCGTTTGTGAATACACTTTCTTAGCCAAAACAAGCGTTCTTCAGAGAACAGTGAAATCAAGGTAGCTATAAGTAGTCGACATTTTTGTCCCAGCTTAAAGGTTTACTTTAGTAAACATACATCGTTTACACTCATTTCTAATGAAACATTTTCACATTATGTAACAAATGGAATAATATTAACGATAAATGAGCTAACTTGTTCGAATGTATTATCTGGTTGTTTTTGAGCTCAAATAGCTATTGATATTGGTGCATAGCTATTATTGATTAATTTCCTATTCCAATTATCTAGATTTTAACTGAAAACTAACCAAATCCATAAAGATTGGTTAAGCAGGCTAACTAAAGTGGTAAGGAAAGCAAGAAACTGGTTTAGAAACAACTCAAAACAAAGGAATCTTTGAATAATTTGGTAGTTAGGAGTTAAGTCAACATAAGTATTAATTAAAAGCATAAATTCATCAATTAGGGATTTGATTATAACCAACAGTTCATTTTCTATATAAAAATGTGTAAACCAGTTTCTTATTTTCTGAACAACGTGCATGGAACAGTTCTTAATGTTACACCAACTCAAGGTTATTTAACTTTTTACTGAAGTATTTGCTTTAGGTAGGATTACTAAAAAATTAACCAGACTTTTGATAGATTCTGAATAATTTATTGAAAAAGTCCAGTCATCAATGGGTAATATTACTTATTCGTCTTCTATGAAGAAGTGTTCTTTAGTCAGTAAAATCTGAATAAACACATCTATTGTCATTACTCTTACGAATTGTTTAAGGAGATATTTACATTAGAAAGAAAATTAGTTGAAATGTAATCCTGAAAAAAAGTACATGTCTCATCACGTATTACTGTCAAGTCTATCTATATTTTGAGATGTTTGGTCACAGATACTTGCTATTTAAGGTTTTGTGAAATTTATTTGTGGCTTCCAGTATACAAAGAAAAAATAAGCATGATTCCGAATGACAAATATAGACATAAATGTGGTAAAATAAGAATTCTGACATTTTTTAAGGTTTTAACCATATTAAAAGGAAATATTTGTTTGTTATTTATTAGTTTTTGGTTCGTCGGTGAAAATAAACATCTTATCACTTGAATAAAAGGGTTAAATATTGTGATATATCATGTACTTTTTCATATAGACATGATCGTAAGCTATTAGATCAAATAATTTCCTTATTTAAACAAATCGACTAATATTCTTACCAATAATCATCCAGACTAAGAATCTAATCCATGTAGCCCCTGACAGTTTAACCATTAAATATACATTGATAAATATACTAATAGCTGGAATCCATGGAACCCCAGGGACCTGCAAAAAAAGAATGTTGTTTGAAGTATTAGCCTCAATAAACCATTATTATTGGAGAGCGTTTTTGTTTAATGGGTGTTCCTAACTTTTTACAGAACTTGTCTCAAGAACTCTTATTAGACTCACACATTATTCTTACTCAGATTCATCACAAATATGTTGCAACAAGTTATTTCTGCAGTAAGATTTTACTAATCAAACAGCTGATTTTAATTTAACAGCGACGTCAATGAATAAGGGTGTTATCATCAGTACTAAATAAATATAATATAAAGATCAGGAAAATCACCTTAGAGTGTCTCATAGTCTGTAAATATCCCCATATAATATGGAGCATTGCGTTTACATATACTTGGATGAGGTATAAAGGCTATAACGTTAGAAGTATAGTAAGAATGAACATCTAATTGTCAAAACTAGTTTTTTGATTGAGATGAAAGAAAATATTTGCATAATACCTGCAGATATTAGTAACCAAATATCTAAATAAAAATAATTTAAATACATTGCCCAGTTGTTCCTTAAACTTTGAAAGTAGATACAAGAAGCAACAGGTTTTCTAACTAGCTGTTCTCAACAAAAATATTCTAAAGCACTTGTACTAAATAAAACATAATACGTACTTTGAATGCCACAGGTGTTTTATTTTCTGGTTGTCTGGCTAATGCTGAACAAATGATAATACTGATCAGGATCATTAATCCAACAAACGTCCATATTGGGATTGTGACTATCATATTTTTTGTCACTTCTTCAGGTAGTTTATCTAACAGTAATATACCCAGATTGCCGAGAAAAATGAAGCAAACTAGAAAGTATGCGTTAAATACGTCAAAACAAAACAAAATATTAGATTTACATAATAAAGTGATGTGGTTCATGATTGTTTTTAAAGATTAGGTAAATTTTTGTTAATGATGGTGGTGTAGCCAAAATTGTACACTATGCCAAATCAGCTAGTAAGTTTGATTTCCAAATAGATTGTACAATTATTTCAGAAAATGACTTAGGATTCCCTAGCATGGAATTATCATTGACCTGATTGAGTAGCACTTTTAAGAACCACTACATATTTTAGAAGCTATGAAAACTAATTAATTATACTCTAAATTTTAAATATCTTATATTTTAGGTTTACTGTTTGTAAAAAGTATATTTTCACACTAATTTAGAAAGAAGTAAGAACTGATGTCAAATAAAATATTAGCTAGGCTCTTTGAAAACACAGAGTAAAAAAGTATGAATGGACGAAGTTTTTTAAAAATTTATTATCTCTTTGAGTTAACTAAATTTACATTAAGAATAATTCTGAAATTAGATTCCGGAGGATTCATGTAGTCAGAGTTCAAGAACTGAGTTGCTAGCTTATACACAATTTCTTTTCATGAGACCGATAATGCATTGTTCAGATATATGTTTGAAAGTAGCGCGCAATATACGGTCATTATAACTTACTCCCAACAGCAAGCAAACTGTAGGATACACAATTATAAAAATTAATGTAAAACTTAAATTAATGATTTCATCGCAAATAAAAATTTTTTCTCTGAATCCTCTTTGAGTTTAATCAAAAGTATCAGTTCATCTTTAACGCATCTAGGTTCCGTATCGAGATAACTCAATGTCCCACAAAAATACCATTTCTCACGAACCTTCTTCAGTATCGCTGCTTTAAACTCATTATTCATGAGCAAATTTTTATTTGGCACCTTAAGGAACCTCTCGGTTTACTTAATTGGTTTTACGTTTCTCTCATTTAACCAAAGATGACAGATATTTATGATTGATATCCGCTGGAGCTTACTCAAAACATTGATGATAATGCCTTCAATATGTACTCAGCTGATGGTTGAGAAATGTTTGGTTCGTTTGTGGAACTTTTTATCAAAATATAAGTTAAATTACAAAAAGGTAACACAAGACTAATTTCCTTGGATAAATTTTCGGAACACAGATGTCACATAAGAAGTTAACTTTCAATGTAAGGGAAACTTTTTTAAATGTTGATACAACACTGAATGATATTATTTAAATTTCGAATACACTGATGATGGTTGTTAGATTAACAAATCAAAAATACTGAAACTATTGATTTAATTCATATGTATATACAATCGTCCTTGCGTGCAAACTGAACATTAAGTAAAACAAAACGTACGCTTTGAATTTCACTATTAATATTTATTAAATACACTTTTATTATCTATGGCTAATTAAGTAAAACGCTGCATAGCATATTAGCTAAGGTGAAAAACCAAACATTTACACATAATTTCAGTTATAATAAGAGCCTTTAGATATACGTCGTTAAAATAAGCGGTGTAAACTTTCTAGTATTGTTAGTAACTTGTAAAGATTATAATATTTTATTTTATAAGATCTACACCAACTGTTCGAACCTAATATTTGTTTCTTTTAATTGATAAAAAACATGATATGAAATGAGCATCCCTTTATCTTTCTATTATTTAAAGAAATTATCACTCACGTAGTAAGTAACTATTTATTTTATAAATTAATTCGGTAGTTTGAGACGGTTTATCCTGACCAAGTTCACGCTTGAAACATCTTCGAAAATAAGTTGAAATGTCGAGATGAATATTATCAGGAAGTGGTGAATTGTTTGTTTGTTTCAAATCCGTTGATAAACTAGAAAGACATGAGAGAAAAAGTGTTTATAGACTGAAAAAATAACCACTTCATATAGTTCTCTAAAAAAGTAATAACAATCGCGAAACTTTAAACAAAATATAACTTGACCACGAATTCTAGGATAAGTGGTTATGAATTAAGAAGTAAATACAAGTCAAGTGAAGAGATTTCAGTCAGTTTCTCTGCATGGCTCTACCCTAACATTCAGTCTTTACAATTTAATTTACAATCACTTCCAATCTTTAAGCGCGTTATATACTTATTCGTAGCCCATAAAATGATTAGCACCGAACTTTTACTTCAGCCAGCACGGAGTGATGAGGTATTTTTTTGCTTGTTATATGCAACGTATTTCTATGGATTCTTATTGAACACTAGTAAATATTAAATTTTAACTTCATAGATTGGTAAACGATCCATAAAACCTGTATGACATAATCACTTATGGCTTTTAATCATTTTTACTTTCCCGTTTAACATCCCTATAAAATGTTTTTGTTGGTCAGTCTGTCGGTCATTTGTCCTTTGATACGGCTTCATTTGTGGATAAAAGATGCATAAATTGATTTATGTAAGCAATCATCAGCCCATCATAATCTTATCAATTGATCAAACACCCACATATCTATACAAAATTGCTTCCTTATAGAAACTAGTGAGGTAACATTTTCTAAGTATATAATTACAGTTTACTTAGTAACAGAAATCGAAAACATTATCGAGTGACCTCAGAAAACTTAAAAAAACCACTACAATAATGATAAATTCCTAAATGAAGTTTAACAAACACTGTATTATTATTTCTTTTCATTACGAACAATTACCCTAAAAAAACTACAGTTTATTAAGTGTTCGAAAAGAGACATTGTTTCATTTTCCAAGATTTAAACAAATATATCTCATTAAGTTCATATTTGGTAAGGGATAGAATCAACACGTAGTTCGTAAATAATTATTTAGTGCATAAAATGTTTGTTTTTGCGTAGTCGATCGTTAGTACATAGCTATAAGCTTCACGACTAGTAAGTTGATGTCTTTCAAAGGTTATGAGATTGTTAATAAAATGCGGAGTCTCGTTGGTCAATTACCTAATATTAAATATTTCAGAGAGAAGAAAACTAATTTTTACTTTTAGTTACTGTGATATGCAACATACTGTTTTAAACATTGTGAACTATTATAAACTAAATGTGATTGAAACTACTAAAAAGAATTCAAATTCAGGGGTTAAAATGTTTTACATGTTAACCGATTAATCATTCAACCATCAGTAGTGAAGAATTCAATAAATGCATGTGATCATAGCTTATGATTAACGAGTATAATGATTGTGCATATAGGATTGTAATAAAAGTCAAATTAATCTTAAAACTAAAGATTTGATTGAGAATTAAATATGAAATTTGAAAGTAATCAATTACCTTGGACTATCAACGTTATTTGAGGAAATAGAGGATTTATTATGATCGGAATATTCATCAGGACCATTCGATGGTTCCTTATCATTACTAAGTCTATTGTCTGCTACTTCATTCAAAAACTTGAGTGGATATGATTTTTCACTAGTAATAAATTAAAATATATATAAAGATGAAAAAGCTTTGTTTTATAATTTTAGTAAGATGTTCCGAAAACACAAACAAGTAAACTTAGGCACTAATGTTAACTTTTGATTTAATGGTATACGGTGACTGTGATATTGAAAGGAATATGTTGAAAGGAAATAAATAACTCAGATCCAAAATTTCCATCTTTACATAATTGATCTTAATTTTAAGGAACAAACTATAATATCCTTGATTCTAAACACAGCTGCCTCTTTTATGTTTAACGAGTATATACTAGCAAATAAATGTTTTATGCGCATTAAAATTTGTCCAGGATGTTTGTAAAAATTAATGTACTTTGTAAGAGTAAATAACTCCGACACGCTTTAGGTTTAAAATGGGATAGATTTCATGAGTTTTTTAAATGATGATGATAATAAGTAAGAAATTCATAAGTGAATATATACATATAAATGGTTGAAAGAATACGAATGAAAACGTAAATTTTCACAGGTTCTGCAAGGGATTTCTAAAAAGAGACTTTTTTGATATAATGAGGAAAATTTGTGAAATATTATTACAGAATTAGTCTGTCAAAACTAAAGTCAAAATGACTAGAGAAAACGTTTCATAGATGAAATCTATAATACATATATAGTTTACTTAGAATTATGTTCAATACGCGTCGGACAATCGACATGTTTGAATGAAGCTGAGTTAAAATTTATCAGTGAGGAAACCTGTATAAAATAAACTCAATTTTAATCATGTAATATTTTTCCCAGTTTGATTGGCTCCATGAGCATACTCACACAAGGTAAAAATTATTAAAAAAATCTCTCATGATGTTTAGTAGATTAATCAACTACTACTAAATAAATTAAATATAACAGCAATAAAAACAATTAGTTTCTATGATAAGCAAGATTTAAGCCGTACAATCAGGTCTTAATTTGTTAGAGATTGAGCGACCTTCAAAGTTGATTTTCTATAATCGTTTATGACGTCTAATCGTATTTCTTTTTTCGTCATTATTCTGTAAACAGGCGTGTTATTTTGTTCATTAAATAACATATTCTTTGGTCTGGTAACCTTGCTACTCATTAGTTCATTTGAGCGTTTAAATCGTTAATCCGGTCGTGTGAGCAACCAGCTTCCAGCTACATGGAAACATACGCCGTCAAATCGATATTTAAAGTATCCGATCAAAAATTAATATAAAGTTTACAGACGTTTGTCGGATTTACTGAAGATTTAAGGGAATCATTCATATAAGAGAGAATATGATTAAACCTATGGTACAGGTTTGACTTCCCACTAAATATTTTTAAAACTGTAAATATTAGTACATAGGTGATCTTATATTTTATTTACTTATATTATCGTCTTTAATCAATTTCCCGTCTACTAATTAGTGTACAAATGTCTTAATTAAAATTAATTAACAGTTTCTGGCCATCACATGACATCTACATTTTTGCTTATTTACAAAATGTATTGTGATAGTTAAACATTAAATATTCGGTGGGATTTTAAATAATTCTTAACATTCTAGAGGCTTACTCGGATAAGGGTAATTTATCAGCTGGCCAACTTTCATCGTCCATCAATACTTCTGTATAATCTTTCGTGTCCCCGATGCAATATCCAATGGACATTTGTTGTCCTCTAAAATGTGAATTTTGTTAGAAAGGAAAACAGAATAGTTATAAGTAAATTTAAACAGTCATTAGTTTACTTTATGTTTATTAAACATTTATGTTAAGAATGGATTTTTTACAATTTTCGCTGAATGGGGAATTACTCCAAACGAAAGTGTACTGGATCAATAATTTTTTTCCTTTTTAAGACTCTTAAATTATACACCTAACGGGACCCATGGTCCTTAGACATCACGATGAAGAAGGAATATGTAAAACGCTAAATTAGACTATACTAGTTGTTATTTTTAAGTTAAGTAATTTCTTCCCTAAAGTAAAACCCCAATCCTCTGATAACATTATTATCTAAGTAAATAAAAATTTCAGAAGTAGATACAAACCAGATGAGTGTAAGACCTGAAAGTATGAAATATATCTAAAATTAGATTGCATTGTATATACTTCAAAGTTTACTCTACAGATACCTGAATATGATGGGACAGATATGAAAATTTTATTTCAAAAACAGTATCGTTCGTTTTTGTTATTACTCATTTGTCTATTGTAGATAACAGTAATTTTAAGTTATAAACATTGTTTTATGTGTTACACAGCAGCAATGCTAGCAGTAAATATACGATATTAAATAAATAATTAAAGTAAACAGTAAGACGTCACATGTTATCGCGTGATACACACGCCAGTTGATTAGCCTTCCGTGAGAAAACTCATTTGTTTAAAAAAAGCATAGTATTATGAGTAAGCTAAATCCTGTGTGTTCTGCATAAGTATGTTTGAGAAGTTATTTTATTTCATTTGATATAACGTGTCTCTTTCTGAATCTTAAAAAAATGAAATAATTGAAACCTTCAGATTTAACTCTCACTCTAATAATAATAAACATCTTTGAGATATAAAATCCAACCTTGGCATTAAGACCCAGAATCTCACTTTGATAGCTGCGATAGATATTTTGGTAAAATGCCATTATCTTTGTCTTTACTATCATAATACTTTATGGGATCTGTAAGATGTTTAAAAATGGCTGCTGAAGATAATGGATTGTCTTAGTCGAACATATGTTGTTTGCATTCCGAATATATTTTTCAGGCACTTTCCTTCTATTAATATTGATAATGCATAGAGGCCTTGACTACGTTTGGGGAATTTTATTTTACCAGGTTCTTGAGGCCACTGAATATCTTTCATAAGAATTTCAATAGAGTTTTGTACTAATTACAAATATTTGTTAATATATGAGTATAAAAACAAAAGTAATAATTCGGACGCTTATTCAAATAAATGTTTTGAACGATAAATCATCAAATATTTCAAATCACCAAGTATACAACCAAAATTTAGTCAGTTTATACAGGAATTATTTCATATAAAGTATAAATTACCTCAAAAGAAGCACAGAAACAGATACTAGAGTATAAGCAAGAAGTGTTCCGATCGACATCATATCGACTAGATCTTGTAAACTGAATACTGCCGTCATTATACCTGAAATTATCACATATATAAGTGGGTAGATTAGCATGATTTGTTAATAAGCCATTTATTAATAAGTTACTACTAAGAAAAGTTTAATAATAAGTAAAATTATAATTCTAAATGTCAAACATGTGATAAATCTGTATCAAAATAAGTCTTCAAATTATACGACTACTTACTGTTGTATAGAACTAAAGATGAGAAATTCAACCTATTGGTTATGATTTAGGCAATACTTAAACCACAAAAAAACATGATCAGAGTTCACAACTGTCACTCATGACAGAAAGAAAGTATATCTATAATATTACGTAACAAGATATTCAGTCATATAAATTGGTTTTGTAGGGTTCCACCGATTTCCAAGATATACCATTTAAGCCTATTGATTAAAGCTGTGATATATATGTGCATGCATAAACATGGATAATAAAAAATACTTACATCCAATAACACCTGATACAATAGTACCTAAAAGTGGAGTTTTAACTTTTGAATTTATTCGATTTAAAAAACCAAATAACAGCCCATCAGTTGCCATAGCATACAAAATGCGTGGCAATGGGAACATTGAACCTAAAAGGCTAAAAATATGTATAATTTACTAAATTAATTGAAATGTAAATGAAATTAAAAAGAATTATGTTAGTGCATAAATGATTTACATAAGTTTGAATAATTTTTTCATCATACTAGCAAATTCATAACAGAATCCATGGTACTAGATGTTAAAAAGCAGTGAATTTCACATTTGTTAATGATCATCAAATTAATACTTTTGAAACCTGGTAAAGTCAATGTTATGATTTTAGCTTATACAATTATCGCGAAATACGATTACCAACTTAGATACACTAACTTATACGATCAAACTGATGACGCATACACTAGTATGGGCAACCTAGAGTTCGGATTAGTCCCTTTGTCGCCTGACCCTACCTGTTAAGTCCACAACGCCAATCTCAGCCTTCACGATACGAATCGTATATTTCATACTTAACAGGTTTATATACAAGTAAAATCAAACCACATCACACCATAAGACAGAAAATAACATTTGTACAAGAACAAGCCCAAAGTGGCTGTGATTGTGCGGAACTTTGACTAATAGATTGAGAATAGTAAGTCATATAACAGTAACCAATAGGTCAAATAAAAGCTTATAACGAAAGGAATATGAATATACATATAATATAGTTACTTAATGGTCATACAATAGAAATATTCGTAAAATATTAGTCCATTGAATTATTCTCGTCCGGATATAATTGTTAAAATTCATTATGTAGTTTGATTTCAACCAATAAAAGCATATTAGTTTACGAAGATGGTTAAAATGTTGAGCGAATTTATTTTAATAACTGGTAAATAAATTACTTTGTTTAAATAAGGTTATTGTAAATGTATAATTTTCCCTAAATTTTACATTGAGCGAAGTTGTGAATTGGCTAGTTTATGTTGATTCGCTAGTCCAATTTATTATAATCGAGTAGGAATAGAAAAATACACAAATTAGTCTTGGGTCATTTGAGTAGATTATTGAATAAAGCGTTAATTTCAGCAGAGAACATATGCAAAGGATTTCAAGTCTTATTTAAATAGGCAAATAAGTATTGTTTGAAAAAGAAACTTCTTGCTTCGAAGTAATAATGAAGGATCATAAGAGAAAATATCATGATGCGATTATTAAGAACTTTCATTCAACCTATAACTAGTAAAAATCATTTGACCGATTTACTAAGTAATGTGAGAAAATGAGTGCTGATGATCCCAATTATCATACAACAGACAATGACAATGATCACATTACTCTATTTAAAATTATTACGGAAGTGAACAGTATGACAATTATTAAGTAGTTACATTTATTTTTTCACATTTTTTTTGTTTTATTAAACCCTAAATAATAGATTTGTAGAGCAATAAAATGATGCATTCACGTACAAAAATAAATATGATTAAGTGCCATGAACATCATATTTGTAGGATATTTACTGTCCAATTCCTTAAGACTTTCCAGTTATAGAAGTAAAAGGAACATTGATTTCAAAATGGAGAGAAGAAAATACAAAATTCAGAACAAACTTAATTCACGGTAAATAAGTTTGAAAGACTACGTACGTTCGTAGTATAATTTCCAAGTTGTTAAAACTATGCTAACTTTAGGTCTACCGCTTTATGCAATAAAGACAAACCAGTTAATAAGATGATGAACTACCACTAATAAACTTTGGTAAAATATGCGTCACATTGGAGTTGTTAATAACTGTCTAGTATATCATTTTTAATTACTTTAGTGATAAACATTTGCAGTTTGTAAGTAGAATATATCATACTAGTTTAATAACTTATTTAATTGAAGTGAAATTTTAATAGTGTAAGCTTTATTGTCGAACTAGTAGCTTTGATAGTTAAATGACCGAAAAAAAGATGTATTCACTTTTTATTTTGTTTTAAAAAATTAACGTCAAAATATCCTATTGTTTTCCACATTTCATTGTATATCTTTTTCTCATATCTCTTATTGTATTGACAGGGAGAAATGGTAGTCTTATTCAACAACTTAATTAAATAGATGTTTCATTATCTATTCATTAACTAGAATATCGAATTGTTGATGGGGTCAGGCAGTAGGGAAATATATGGTATTCATTTTATTTCATTTAAGTATTATCTTATATACAAGTTAATGTGATTAGATAGGCTAGCAATAACCATCTGTCTCTTCTACAGTTTGACTATCACGCAATAGAATACTGATTTAGGATAATCTCTTCTGCATCGTTGAGACAAAACATTCTAGGATATTGTAAAGATAAGAAGTTACCAGTATACATCGTATAAGAAGCTTCTAAGCGGAATTAATTGCTTTGTTCAACTGAAAACAACCAAATTACTTTGACGAGTAAATCAGTTTATACCATTTGTTGTATTTTTAATAAATATTCATGGACAATATACGGTTGAAAGGATAAGTTTATTTGAAAAGAGTAACTAACAAAGCTAAATATGGTGTTTATCGACTAAAACAGAACACTCAATTCAACAATAATAATATAAAAATTATATATAAGTTTCATAAGCATTGCACTTACCAAAATGTAAACATTATAATGATATTTAATTAAAGTGCATGTTTGATAATAAAGTCATAAAAATGCTGATATTTTCACAGCCACCAAACAACGTTTTCATATATTAATTATTCTGGTAAAGCTATTTTTAACTCAGTTTAGTTTTCAGTCTACAGGTTGATGGATGTTTAAGCTGTAACAACCAAACGAAAATAGCAATGATTGTAGTCAAAGATTTTCAATGGCCTATGAAATACTGGTTGGAAAAGCTATGTAACTAGAGACAACCTTAAGTGTATGCTATAAACGAAAGCTAAATTAAGCGCCTAATTCATGTTCAGAACTTCTTAATCAGTAACTAAAAGCTTTTACCAATTACAAACAAGTATATCGATTAACTGAACGTAAATAAAGATACGGAAAATAATGTGTGATTTATATTCCGTATTCTCATGATAAAACAGTTTTGTTGTAAAATATATCAGCGTTTAACAAATTTATGGATTTATTCAGTCATTTTAGATAGATCTTCAGTCATGAGACAATATAGATTCAGTATCTTTTGTGAATCATAGGGATAATAAGTAACTGCAATTTCTCAGTCTGGAACATTTTTGGGAACCCATGAATTTCAAAGGCAATGATCGTTTAGTTATAACCTGATAATTCATCAATAAAATAAGGAATGACACCCCTGTTTTCTCTGACTTGAATTTGATATAAATAGGATGACAGAACTAAGATTAGATGGTATGCTGTTAATTCATTTCAAATACTTTCTCAGCAAATATCAACCCATAGTTGCAATATATTGTGGTCAAAGCGATTCTTATTATTTCTGAAGTGTTATTACGTTAAAGCATTGTTAACAAACCTAGTAGTTAGAGCACACAAAGCCCCAGTGGAAATAATGTATTTTGCCCATTGTAAGCCATGGCGACTAAATGCAAGTGGTAGAGCAGCAACAGAAGAGATAGAATAATATGGTACCATTAACGTAAGTGTAGCAGATATAAGACCATATGCCAAGAAACATATTAGCAGGCATCCGATAATACTTATAGGAATCGCTGTTTGTGGATTACGCACTTCCTCACCTGAGAAATAATAAAATAGGAAATTGAAAAAAGTAAATAAAACTTTATGTACAGTGTGTGATTAGAAGAAGCTAGAATAAATAACTTGTTACTGTTTACCTAAATAAATTTAGAGCAGCATGCTCATAACTTAATATGTTACTATATTTCTTAAACGACTTATTTCTGGAGTTCCATTTTTCGCCGTTGACAAAATATTGTTCAAGTATCAAAAATGATAACATTTGGATGATTGCATGGGAAACAATATGTGAGAACAAAAAGAGTTCAATATTTAAAAAAAACTAAGTCATATTGATACCTAAAAATCACCTCAATAAGATGGCAGTTTTTTTATCAACAGTCTAATCAGAAAGACTTAAGCATTTAAAATGTCAGACGTTAGGTTCGAGTCTCAGTCGAATTATCGCCAATTAATGAAATATATATTAAGCTTACCGAAACAAAAACAAATAAAACAAACAATGAATCTTGAATTCACCAAGTAATCACAAGTAAATACTGCAAAACTGAACAGATAATACAATTTGATCACGTGATATAAAGTTATTCATCTTCAAAAAGTTAAAATTGGCAGATGACGAACTGGTAACTGTAGAGCTTGTTATCTTAATTAGCCTGGTAACATCAAAACTTTTTGTTCCTATTAGACTTATTTTTGTCAGTAATTATGTATATCGTGAAGGTGCTGATTTTTTTCAATTGTGGCTTAATGATTACCTAAATATGATTGATAATTGTAATTGATTTCGGATAACTTATTTTGGTAGATCAAGTTTTTTAAGATTTACTTTTTATCATTAGGTTTTGATCTATTAAACTTACTAAAGCTTATAACTATCAAGTTCTTTTATTCTGACAACAACTAAAAGTGTTTGTAATTTTTATCCAAATATTTTAAGATCAATGTCACCTGTGAATTGAAATTTATCATGCACGATTATAGTAGTAAGATTAACATTCGAGCAAACAAAATTCATATTTTTTCTTTTGATCAATCTTCATATTTAGATATATGCTTAACAGTATTTCTCTTGTAGGTTCATAAAAGGTCTAATTTATACAATTAACGATACAGACTATTCTATATTCACTTTTCAAGGAATTAGAACTTCACGTAGTATGTAAAATAACACTACAAAGTGAACTTAGAACTTGTGCGTTGTTAAAAAAATTCATAAATTAACCCCTAAAATCTTTCATTTTATATAAATACTAGTCCAAAACATAAATAATAATTAAAGTAACTACCTGTTGTAGCAATAATATCGAATCCCACAAATGCAAAAAAACATGTTCCAGCTCCGGAAAGTACGCCGTTCAAACCAAAAGGAAAAAACCCGCCATTTCCTAAATCCGTACGTTTTACAGTATTATTGATAAGAACCTGATAATCCAAAAAGCGTTTGAATAATTTGAACAATAACTTCAGAAATATGACTGTCAATTTTTTAAATAAAAATACTGTATTATTCTTTTTAGCTTTTACATTTAATAGATGCTCATGAATCCAAACGCAGTTAGGATTTATAATTGGCCATCACTTAAGGACTCTAGGAAGTATATTAATGGTGTGATAGACAAGTGAGTAACTTTAAGATTGATTGAATTTCGGACTACATTAATATCAATGTTTACTTTGAGAATGAAATTCTGCGCTAATAATACAGCCTGAATTTCAAATTAATTATCTCTCAACATTTAAACTAAATTTATATATCCCCTATGGTTATTGAACTTTAGTTTTGTACATTTACGACTTGCTCCAAACATTTTTTCATCAATTTTATTTTTCAAAGGAATTTTTCAGTGTCGAATCGTAGATTTCATTTAAAATAAATGTACTGAATGTCACTTATAATTTTCTGGTCTCCAAACTGTCGTTTTTTCAATACTGTTAAAATTCAGAGTAACTAGATGTCTCTAATGAGATATTAAGCCATGGTTTACTCTATTTAGTTTATTTAAGACAAATTGATCACAAATTAATTGGTAATATATTAATGAAATGGTTTACAGTATCATATCTTTTTAAAAATGATACATTCTTTACTAAAAGTGTTTATTTCAGCTTTCTGCATCAGTCTAAAAAGATTCCTTTACGTATAAAAACCATTGTTAATAGATAACAAAACGTGGTTAGTAACTAGTTGTTACTTAACTGGTATTCAAACACATCAAACATCTTTCTTCAATCAATAGTCTTACTAAGGATATTATTGCTAAACAATCTGAAGATTTCGAATAGATTCTCAGAATTAGCCAACTATCGGGACATTAAATGACCCCAGAGGTTTTCCTTTTCATCTTCAGCTTAGAGATACAATTCCGTCAGTTGTACAATAAAGCGAATATTCACACTGCTAACAGACATCTTTTGATTAACATGAAATAATGATATTAATGAAAGTGAAATATAACGAAAAGCAGTACTGAGTTACTTCCCGTTTTTCACGCAATAGTTATTTCAAATAGTTAAAAAAACCTAGAATATGAATAGATTTAACGAAGGAAATATAATTTTCAGCCAATTCAAAGAAACACACTTACATTTTCTGGAATAACTTTCCAGTTATCAATATTTGCATAAATCAACCCAGTTACAACTACAAATATGATGACACACAAGTTGACTATTGTGAACACATTGTTAATCATTGCGGATTCTCGTACACCGATGCTTAAAAGAACTGAAAAAGATATATTAAATGAAAAGTGGTGGATAGAAGACAGTTCTTCGTTGGGGGAAATAAAATAGTAGAAAAATCGGCGAGACTATAATCTGTAAACGAACCAATCAGATTTAGGATAACAAGTTTTGGATTTTGGAACGAAATTCGTCCATCCATTTGGCTGAATAGCATTTTGGCATTTTAACTGATGTCAGCTCGCGATGAAAATCCTAACTCTAAATCCTAATTCTAACCATCAACTATAAATCATAATCGTTATTATTCACACATGTTTATAGTAATCTTCAGTGCGTCGACAATTTTACTTATTTTGGAAGTCTGATCAGCCCTAATGGGTTGGTGTCTGATAAAATCTCTGCGCGAATTCAAAAAGCTCGCCAGCTTTTGCCAACTTACGTCACCTCTGGTGAAAGCGAGATATACGTCTATCAATTAAGGGATGAGTGCACTGCTCGGCAGTTCGTTCTGTTCTACTTTACGGCTGCGGAACGTGGTCAATAAGAGTAGAAGATACTCGTAAGCTACTAGCATTTGAGCACAGATGTCTTAGAAATATTGCTCACATCTACTGAGATCATCGGGTAGGTAATAGGGAGGTTAGACGCAGGGTATGGGGAAATGATGGTAAATCAGTTGATGAGGTTGTAAATCTTCATCGACTGACATGGTTGGGCCACATGTTACGTATGCCTAAACACTGATTACCACGACGCGCAATGCTGACAAATGGTGGGGACGGTTGGAAGAAAGTTAGGGGCAGCCGAACCAAAACACGAGATCAGTCTTTGAAGTCACTAACTTCTGGTTTGAGCCATGTTGATAGATACAGACTACTTAGTTGGCGTATACAGTCTTTGTCATCCCTTAAACCGTAAGATTAAAATTGCTGTATATCTTTCTTCCTATGAACTAGTTCTTTCTTCCCGTACTGCATTCTTATATAAAATCTGGTTCTATGAGTTCGGTGTTCATCTTGTTGTGCTAATGAAGTGTAGCAACTTGGACCGATGCATATATGTGCCTGGTTCTACGTTGTAGCTAACTAACTAGCTGATACACATTTACAAACCTCATTTAGCCCTAGTAAGTAGGTGGACATTCTCATGGTCACTTTGGCGTTGCTCAAAGGTCGTCCATAAATTATAATCTCACCGAACAATCTTCTGAGATATTTTCTCAGTTACAAATACATTATCTCAGAGTAGTAATCTAGTAATCCAGTTGAGAGCAGAAACCTAAAAGTTGTTCCAAAATTCGTAGAACAGTCCCCGGTTACCCAACAAGGTACTAGGCTCACTATTTGCGGAAAAACCCCCACAAACAGTTTCCTGTCAGACACGAATGACTGGTCAAGTAATTAGCTATCAGTTTTGAGATCCTATGAGATCTTAAAAACGTAAAACTTGTAAAATACATGACTGGAAATAGGATTATTATTCCAGTACTTGGATTGCAGTCCTATATATCAGTGGTAAGATACAATCAATTAAACGTCACCCCATTGCATAAACCAGTAGCCGAATGGACTCAGTTGCCAAGTGGATAACGAGATAGCGTCTGAAGAGAATGGTGATGGGTTTGAGTCTTGGGTAGAACATCAACTCTGGGATGTAGGTAGGTCCAGCTAACGAGTCTCGAATAAAACAAAACGCTCTTCCTGGATTTCGCTGCTAACTACCATCTACCTCTGCTTATAATGCTTGCAACTTAATGACAATACCGAACCATTCTCCACAGGATGCACATGTCTCTAAAGAGACTGATTAATTGAAGTCTTCAACATTGATGGAAAGATTCAAACAACCAATACAAATGAATTAGGATTGTATGAACTTTGATTTTTAAAGACAATCGTTTTGAAAAATGATAACTTGATTCGTTTAGATTAATAAGAAAGAATTTCCATTTATTGGTAGTGTAGAACAGTTTCAGCTGAAACTTTTAATTTATTAGGTGAAAGTCAGTGCGATAGTTAACCTTGCTTCGCTCAAACGACTAGTGAAGTCTACTAAATAGAAGACCCAAATTCACCGTTGACAGTAATCAGATGTCATATTTTAATATTATTTCTCATAAGTGTAACTGAACAATCAAAATTATGACAATCGTAGAGCAAACGTTCTCACTTGTCATTAAAATAATTAAGCCAACAGCAAGTGGATCTACATATTCAGCTAAACCAGGAAGATTTAATGCCAAATGCTTTTTAAAAAATTCTTCTATTTGGCCGTTGAGTATACCATCGAAATTAGAGCTCCAAGCTCGTGCAACACTTGCGATACCTAAGGTAAGAAAATTATTATTTCAAATTTAGATGAGTTTATATATGTTTAGTTTTCAATATACGTTTTTGGTGTAGTGACTGATTATCATAACAGCTTCATAATAACTAATTTTATTGCAGATAAAAAATTTTAAACTATCAGTTTTCCCTCATATTTCTGACAACACTTCTGAATAATATGAGGTTACGGAAATAACTTTGCGTTTATGGACGAAAGTTATGGTTAATCGTTTAATCGTTTGACTCCCAATACCCTTATAATTTGGTTAATCTTGCTTGAAGTAATAGCCTGGTGTAAATTATAGTGAAAGTGTTATGAAAAATATGAAAGGAAGAAAACAGTTCAAATAAGTTAAACCAAGTTATGGTTTCCGTTTTATTAGAATTTTGTCTCATTATTCATATGAAAGATAAAAGACAACATCGGGACCGCCAGGGACAATGACTCATAACCTTAAAGAAATAATAAGTATTCTTAACTGAGTTGGCTGAGATTTAGCAAACGCGAAACACAAATGCGCATGACCAGGAGTTGTTAACTAGATACTTTATAGCCAAATTAATATAGTGGTGATTTTAATGAAGGGTATATTTGGCATGTGCCGTTGTATGTTTTGTTAGAAAAAAAAAGTTTTATGTACAATGGCATTATTGTCGTTCATACAACTATTCTAATCAGCGAAACTCTGGTTGCTTCTGGAAATTCACACCTACGTTCAAATACAGATGTAACAATTTTTAGTCCAAAGCCATGTTAGATAGAATGAAAAGTAGTCGTAACAGAAATAAATACACCAATTTTGTTCATGATAATTGTTATGTTATTCCGACATAGAGTAGGATTACCACATAAGCTGAGTTCACTCATTTCACTGTAGGTGCTAACCAGGGGTTTCGAGTTATTCTCCGTGCCTATTCTTATTACGATTATTACGCAATCAGTTAAGGAGAGTTTATTTAACCTTGATTTAGTAAAATGTTGGACAGAATCTCTTGCAACTAATATGCGTACCATTCTATGTATCTTTAACAGGAATGTTATCGTGATTCTCTATTTATAGTTTGTTATATCCTAAAATCCAGAGAGTAAAACGTAGCATCATGCTCATGTTCCATTTTACTCAACTTAAGTGTATATTACTGTTCAGATTTCTGGGAGACAACTGTTTTAACATATCTTCGTTCGGTTGAAGTATGGTACCATTAACATCCGATTTATGCAAAACAAATATTTATGTGATGCTTCGTGTCACGAGAGCTTGTATTGTAAAACGGATATTATCATACCAAGAAACGTAGTCATTATAGAACACTGACTTGAATAACTTAGGAGTAACTCATATGCTCTAATTCCTCGGGCGTTAAGTGAACCATTATTTATGAAATTTTGTAATAAACTCCGGGTAATCTGGTAACTACACATAACCGTAATTGACAGAATGCTACTCAAGTTAAGTACTTGTTGATACGTCCTGACTACCCACGTGATGATCAGACGAAGTAGCTATTAGGGCTCACAACCGTTGAGAATAATGTACCTGACATAAAATATTTGCATTTTCGATATCATTTACTACAAACCTATCATACACAGTTACAATTTTTTAAGTACATGACTAGTATTGATTTTAAATTTTTGTTACAACTTGTATTATTCTTCACCTCTCCTATTTATTTAGATTACTGTTTCGTTATGATACTACTGTACATGTAATCCCTATTTTTGGAGCAAAGAAAAATAAATATTTGAAAAGTATCCACGGCAATTTCACAAGTTACTATATGAACATACCGATTACATATTCTAGTATCAGATTCCAACCAATTGTAAACGCCATTATTTCTCCAACAGTAATGTAGCTATATACATAAGCTGATCCACTTTGTGGCACACGGGCTCCAAACTCGGCATAACACAATCCTTAGCAAGAGGGGAAGAATATTCGATTAATTTTTCGTCAAACTTAAGCTACTTTACTCAGGAAAGTTGAAAACTTTGACGCATAAAAGGATCTTTCCTCATTAAAATTTTGTTTGAATGTTACTTCAACAACGTATATTCTGCCTGAAACGGTATTTTCAGGAATCTGTTTAGCTTCCATTTCAGTAGTAAAAAAATCTAAATGAATTTTTCAATATAAACATTTATGTCCATTATCCTGTTTATATAATAACACAATACTTCATATGATAAACATATAATGTAAATTGGATTTTCAGAGAATTAAAAAAGAGTGAAAATATTATATGATACGGCACAAACCTTGCGTGAAATGCCTAGTAAGTAATTAATCAGACACTGCATTTCACGATTCCACTGGTATTTTGATGATTGTGGAGCACAGTCTGATTACTAAGTTTTGTGTACTGCACTCTGCAGTCGTCTTATATTGTACATTTTCTACCAGTCAACAATGATATTATACACACCAGATGGCTGACGAGAATGTCGGAGTCAGTGGTTCTGTTTTTGACTATTACGCTGGAAAACTCGAGTTTGAAATTTAGCCGGAGTTCAAGTTTTTTTTAATCTCGACGCTAAAGAATTTATATTGATAATCAACTGAACCTCATCAACTCTGTTTACATGTTTTTTATTTATGCTACCAAACTACACAAACATTTGAAAACTAGATGTCCTCAACGATTATATCATGATGATACAAATACCTTAAAAATTAAGGTTTATCGGCAGCACAACTGATTGATAGTTTGTGAATTGTATTTTTATAATTATGATGGTTTCGCATGAGTCAACTATGTCATATTTTTACTTTATTTGTTTAATACACCTAAATGTTTCGCAAGGACAGAGGAAGGTTGCTCTCATGCCTGAGTCGAAAGCCCTACATTTTAAAGACAGACTAATTTCACAACGGCGGCAAAGACAGACGGGATGTACATAAAGCTATCTGGTTTCCACTGTATATAGATCACTTTTAAAGGACACGCCACCACTAGCACCCACAAAATCATTTGTATGCATAATCTTTCCTACTACTTTTAGCGAGTCACCACAAAGAGCACCGGCACAGGAATCTTCCAATCTTTTAAAAGTACTTCGCATTTAAAAGGTGAAAAGTACATACTATAACGACGGACAATGGTTGTCAACAGGTTAAGCGCGGACTATGCAGCCTGAGTACCGTGGCACAGTAAGACAATCGACCCCAAATGTTTTCAGTCCTCTTGCAAAATGCAAACTTTTTTCATCTAGCGATCTCCCTTTGTCATCAAACTCATCGAGTTAAACGATTTTGTTCGACATAAAAACAATGGCAAGCGTTTTCCACTTTGCTGGTCCAGATTGTGAACTACACAAATCCTTATCGTTGGTGCTAGTTCTCTACACTTGCAAACGTTTGTACATCTGCTGAATCAATTTTCCATAATTTTAGTTTTTTGCTTTGAAAGTTTGATTATACGAAAGCCAGTTTCTATTTATTTAGAAATCGTGGGACGGTATATACGCTTTAAGCAACTCAACTTAACTGAGTTTATGAAGGTTACCTGGGTTGTCGGTCTACTAAGGTTTTAAGTATGATTCGCAAGATTAAGGTGTAGTTTTATCAGATCCAAATAACAATCGTGAAAAGATGATAATCTATGTTCATTTTGATGGCATTTCATAGTATCTAGGTACTGAATACAAGCTAAAGTATTCACTGATGAGGAAAAAATTGAAATCCAACACCTTGGCACTTATTATTCTAAGACAGCTACAAAGTTTTACTGGCAAAATTTTGGTAAGTTCAATACCAGATGTAAAAGCAGGACAAACATGCTTACAGATTTTATCGAAACTCGTTATTAAATGTTATTCAAATTTTATTCATATTAAGAACGTTCACATTAGTAGGCGTTTACACAAAGATTATTAATTATATAGAAGTCTCAAACAACAGTCAGAGAAGATATTCAGTGGATTTATTTCAAAGAGAACCTCTGACCAGCACTTTTGCCAACAGTGTTTATTTTCATTTCTAGACAAAACAGATCTAAAGTTGGCTTTCTTTCCACATACAATCGTTTTTTTTAAAATACTTGTAAATTCATGTTATCACTAACAGTCTGCTTACCTAATGAAAATAATAACTTGTGGTTATCTAGACAACAACCACTTTACTATATTTTAAGATATGCTGTAGGCAATTACCCGGTGGTTTTCAAAACTCAAGAAAGTTGTTAAGTTTTCGGCAGTCATACCGTGAATAGTGGGCATCACATTTAGTATTTTAACTGACTTTTCATGGTTTGGTCACACACAATATGCTTTTCAAAACTGGTTTTACAAAATATATCTGATTCTTGTCGGAAATGTTTGTTTATAACGAACGATATAAAGGACAATTTAAACTGTACTTCTCGTGAAACTTGGTTATATTTAATATCTCAAAAGGTTGATCTAAAGTAACTCTTTTCCATCAAGTGATGATATTGAATGACAAAAAAGGTAAACATGTTGCTATGAATAGAGCTGTTACCCTCTCCTGTATTATATTTGACAGCGCAGAAAGAACACTGTGAAGTAATTAGTCTTATGATGATCCACCAGTTACATGCAGCAAGATACAAAGTACTTTGTTCCTATGAGCTTACTGTGAAATAAACTGATTTAAGGCAAATACCGAGATTATGCCCGATATTTGCCGATATTACAAGTAAACTGAACACGCACAAAGAAAAAAGGCGTTTATCCTTTGATAAGATACAAAATATCTGTTAGGTAAATGCCCATATTATTTGGGAATCTACTTATAAAATGTTGCCATACTTAGCATATGCTTTAGAAATTAACATAGCTTTGTGAACAATTGAAAACGCAACGTAAAAAATGTGATAAGTATGCAATTTTCGATAGTCTATTTTTATACAGAAATCTTTGGCGTATAATGTTTGACACTACCGATGACATGATCGTTGATATAAGTTGAAGGCATTAAGAATGTAAGTATTAGTTAGAAGTTTGTTATGATATACAAAGTAACAACTGTGCTTTAATCACATTTGAAGAGTGAGAAGTACAGAAAACATCATGTGCAGAACAAAAGCCTAGAAAATTTGGTTTAAACTTGAAATAAGTGTACTAAGTAATATTACTGAGCTGACCAAGTCATATCAGCATGTAATATAGTTCTACCGAATTCTTATAGTTTTCACCAGTATAAAGTAAAACGTCATGAAACCGTGTGGGTATAACGTGTGTTTTCTATGAAATTTAAGCATGTTTACAAACCTCGCCTTTATATCATCATCTTACTACCAGCTCTTAAATAAAACGGATAGCATATCCCCACACGCTGTTTGTCATTTCGATGACTTACTTTAAGTGAAGAAGATCTCAGCGGTTTTGCTCACAACAACAGTGCTAATAAAAAATTCAAATGAGTGATTGTACGGTAAATAGGGCAGACATGAATACCATAATCTTTTGCAGTAATTCCTTAAGATTAGGCATATTTTAGCTGGCAGGTTACCTTACCGGTTAGTTTCAAAAGATGACCATAACCCTATTTAAAACGTCCTCATTTCAGTTATACATTATTAAATCAATATGAGTATAGTCTAGTAAATGCTGAATTATTGTTTTGTTAGTCAGGTGACAGGAACACATAATCACTACCGACAAATGTCAAACTTTTCGTTCACCAATCTATGTGAAGTCAAAGTTTTAACAATATAGTTTTATTTGACAAAGCCATCATAGGTTTAACTACAATACTACAGTAAAAGCGGTCTATGAGTAATGATAACCGATGTTTCGTTTGCGTTCACAACAAATCCTGTATTGTACTTTTGGTTAAACATCAGATGAGCGGCAAATAACTACTTAAACTTATAAACTTATTATAAAATTAATTTAGAAAGAGCAATTTCTCTTACCTGATATACGACAAATGCTTTAAGCAACTGCTTATGAAGGTTTAAATCCTAAAAAATATAAAAAATCTAGAACTTTCGACAGATAATGATTTTACCACTCATAAAGTGTATGTATTACTCAGTGAACACCATATTTTCTGTTTCAAAGATACTATATAATATAGACAGTGAACATGTCACTTCACATAATTCAAAGTATCACTGACAATTCTTTGATTAAGACACTTAAAAAGATACAGACTTGAGTATGGTTGATTGAAGACAAACCTCCGAATTCTGGAGAAAGTAATTATTGGTTTCGGCAGCTTACATGCTCAATTCATTGAATAATGCTTGTATTATTTATCCGTAGTGGACAGACTTTTTTGAAACGGTTATATAACGTTAAGTAAATTCCAACAAATTGCCTTCATAATGACTGAGAAAATAAATAACCTAGAGGTGTTTATTCGAATATCCCAAAAATTTAAACCTATCTCAAAATAATTTGCTATGAAGTCTAAAAATGAGGCATGATGTGACACTAAAGGCAAAAATCCATTTAATGATTTTTAAAAGTAAAAATCAAAAGTTAAACATGAACATTCTAGTGCATATTTTAGAGAACGCGAAAGAATATTATGATCATAGGTGTTCATCAATTACGGGGGGGAATTACCTGATAGAACAGAAGCCACCGCTGCGATCAAAAAAGATATTATAACACCAGGACCAGCTGTGAACTTGGCAACGTCGCCAACAAGAATATACACTCCAGCACCTAAAGTTGTGCCAACTCCTATGATGAAAGTATGTTTCAGAAATTGTACATAATACCTAAGGCAGTTAGATCAAAGATAGTTAGGCATCTTCGTAACTCGACCTTTGGAGACTCCCTTTTGCCAATCACCTTTTTTCTGTTTAGGCTTATAAAAAAGTTTTTTGTTGTTCGAGCACATGAACTCATTACAGCAAATTAAAAGTGCGCCGTATCCGTAGCCTAAACTAACTGTGAGGAAGAATTATTTCAATGCTCAATTCTAATCGAAAAGATTCAAGAAACTAATAACCATTTTCTTCAATGCGAGAAGTCTAGATGATGTCTTGTTTAATTAAAAAAGGTACAAATTGATGACTAAGACCCCAAAACAGGGGGGAACAAGGAATGTAAACTGTCTTAGGAAAGAAGAAAACTAGACATTTAATGGCGATATGACGAGTATTCGATTTAATGATATCACTGTATTTTTGTAAGTACATCAGTCGGGTTCATCGAACCAGCAACTTCTAAGCGATCCACTTATTTCAATGGTAAGTACGATCACTGATTTCTAAACACAAGGGCTATATATATACATATATAATATTTCTTTACGCCCGTTGCCACTCGTGCAGGAGCATAGGCCGCCCACTAGCATTCTCCACCGAACTCTGTCCTGAATAACCTTTTCCGGTTCTTTCCGGTTGTCACTGATTCTTTTAATGAATACTTCCGATTCCAGACGTATAGTGTTCTTCAGCATTCCCATTTATCCTTTCCCTTCAGGATTCCAGGTAAACGCTTGCAGTTTGGTGATCTCCGCAATGTATATCCTATTCACTTCCAATATCAGATGTAAGCTGGTTTATTCTCTCCCAAGGTAAGTTGTTGCTGGTGGTTTCCGGCCAAAGGATATTGAATATCATGCGTAGTTCTCCAAATTTCAGCTCAATACAGTAGAAGAGTTTCACTTTGATACTGGTTGACAGTTGTTTCGGGTTTCATATACTCTTTAATAGTAGGAATGCGGCTATTTACTTTGCCAATTCTCGTCTCTACGTTTGGATCCGATCATCCTTGTTCATCGATGATGTTTCCCAGGCACATGACAAATTCCAACTCTTCCAGAGTTTCGCCATCAAGCATGATTGGGTTGGTGTTCCTCGTGTTGTATTTCAGGATCTTACTTTTCCCTTGTGTATGTTGATGCCTACTGATGCAGAGGCTGTTTCTACACTAGTTGCCTTCATCTGTATTTTTCTGTATGGATAGAATAGTAGGGTAAGGTAATCCGCAGTCACTGAAACCATACTGTCCAATTTCACGAAACTCATACATTTATGTAACTATTTTCAAAATACGAATTTGAAAAATGATTCAGTTTATCTCTCTCCGGATCTTTTTCTCATGTACAGTTTTTGATACTTTTTACGGGCAGTTGTTCGTCTCTTATTAGTTTTATTTATGATTTCCATTGAATATACTGTCAAAATCTTGTGATAAAGAGTCTGGAAATAGACATAACCAAATTCTCAAATAAAGATAAAGCCGATAACGTTCAGTAAGTTTGCTCCGAATCTTTATTTATAGATCTTCTTAGTATTGCTGATGCCTTATTATTCGAGACGGGTGGTTTTATTTTATCTGGCACTAGCTCATTTTTCCAGCCAAGTCAAATGCGTAAATTTAGATCAGTCCGCATGTAAATCACTCCCACGTCCAAGTTCCTTTCTTGTTTCTTTTGCCGTATTCTTTTACATTGTAATCTTCGTATTACAATTAAACAGAAACTTACCCAACAATCAATAATAAATATAACAGGTATTGTTTGTTAGATAGTTCTGACAGAAGGAAAAAATCACATTTGGATTTGTATATCTATTGAATAATGCTAAAATATGTATGATGTCCTGGCAACAACCCATAATAGAAGGACAGAATGATGTTTACGATCAGGTGAAGTGGGCATAGGATAATTGGACTTAACTCAAACTAATGCAAAAATTCCACAACGTCTTTACACGTGACACCTTTATAGTCGAAGTATACCAATCTAGTCAAATCAAAAGTCAGAAACAAAGTGGTTCGAAGATATATTTGGATGGCTATTGATATGCCGAAAGGTGTATGGTCCAATTTGGCTAGCATTTGTGGGGAATGCTTAGAACAAAATACCCACTCATGATCTGGTGCGGACGCGTGACCAAGAGCCTTCAGCTAAATGTATCCAGTAAAACTAACCAGGTTAGCATCAACGTTGACGACTTACAGAACTGCCTAATTTGGGGATTTATTTATCGCTACAAATGTTGGTCCATTTATCAAATACCACTACGAATCAGTTTACAAAATATGTTGTATAATATTTTAATCTCTGTTATTAGTGCACTAATATTAGTTCACAATTAAGACAAGCCAAGATTCTGTGATGACCAACAAGCAAGTGCTCAAACTAACTACAATAAACTGCTCTAAATCTTTCAATGATAAAAGGGCAATTATAGTAGAGACTGTAATAAGTTATAAGTTCAATGAACCTTTTTTGTTTTGTGACAAAAGTGAGTAACTTTCATTAAGGTTGCATGATGATTTGAATTTTGACTGGAAGTCAAGTATTTTCACGCCTAAATTCTTACCAGAATAATGTTAATGAACCTTTACCGTAGATTGAAGGCCAAACTCAGCATAACAGCTTACATTTTTATCAGTGTGGTGATGTGAAGATTGTTAATATTTTGATTGAGACCATGAAGCACTGCTTTCCATACTAGAACGAAACGGCCATCCAGGGCTTACAGGTTTCCAATGATAGTCTAACATTCTTCGATTCATGATCTCCATCAAAAACTTACTTTTTCCTGAAAATCCATTGGTTCCAGCACAGGAAAAAGAACTTGATAATTAAGCAAACAATAATGTTGCTCAGTACTTCATAGTAATGAAACATAAATTAACTGGCTATTGGACTGTAACAGGTATCAAAGTTGTCTAGCTTTGATAATCATTTTATTCTATCTATCTGGTTTCAGTGTGGCTACGAGTATAAGTGAATAAATGTCGCACAATACATACTACAACTTTATGTGACTGAAGGTAATTAACACAAAGCTCAGAATCTCTGTTCGTCGGTAGATTAAATTCTTTAACTTGGTGTATTTGCAATTTTAAGGGAGTTGGTTCATCACTTAAGATTCTAATTCTTGTCTCCTAGCTTCACAGTGCTAAGCGAAATCTACACACTTAAACTGATATATCATTGGCACATCTAACAAATAAACTGTTCCAACTTTCAAGTCACTATGACTGTTCACAAGAGCAAATATATTTAATCAGTCTAAAATACCATAAATGATATTAATAAAGCACTACAGATAGTGAAGTGTTTTTGGTTCAGTAGCCGCGAAGTAGTTATATCTGGTATACTTGTATACAGTAAAATCTCAGAAGGGGTTTTGTGGAGATTGTAATAATTTAAATAAATTAGATCATGAGCCAAGTGAATTTAAACCACCATGGAAAACCTGGAAACACTGTACGGCCGTTTCGTTCTTTTGTGGGACTCCTCAGCCGTCCAATGCTTCCAGATTTTCCATGGTGGTCCAGCGTCAATCTACTCATGATCTCAACTATCGAAAACTAAGTAAAGTCATTTAAACTGATAATCCACTGAGTTAAAACAGTTTAATTACTGAGTAAAATGAAGTATCCACGTTAACTAGAAAGACAATGTGGCGTTTGAATGAGCTAATGATACCTTTGTTTATTGTTGAATGCTTGATTTCGAATTCTAAATACAGTACATTCGTTTGTGGTTATCTAGTAATCCTTGGTTCGATTACGTTATTTCTGAGATTCCTAGTTCATACTATAATTCAAATACCCGTTATCACCATAGATACTTTGAAGTCAGTTGATGGAAATCAGGTAATCATACAGCATGAAACGTTGTTTTGTAATAATTACTTAAACAACTGACTTTGATAGTAGTTTGGAAACATTCGAGTACAGATGAAGTTTTGATTGTGTATCATTGGTTAGTCTTGTCATATTAAATTAAACTCAAGTTATTATTCTCCAACATGAAATCTTGTCTATGAAGTTATAACAAACCTCGTCACTAAACTAGCAAGGGACTAAGGGTATGAGAATCAACTATTTTGAAAATTTATTAACTACTGAGGATAACAAATCTACCAATTCCAAAAATAAAGAGTTGTATCGATGCTGGTGACATTGTATCGAACAAGAAGACGAGTGAGGACAATCAAATGTATTTAAACACGAAATTACAGAGCATCTCATTAAGATCTGAAAACAATACAGTAAATACTTAGTTTGCAAAATATCAATCAATTGTCTCAAACTTCACTGTTCCTCTAACAAATATCAGTCCATCCTCTCAGATTTCATTGTTCCTGCATTTTCATACAAATCGCTTTCCGTTCCCGATATTTCCTTCTCGATCCTCTACTGAAATATATCCTAATTATGACAGTCGTCATATACTACTGACAAGTATATCAGTAGCGCACATCACAATAGGAAAACAAAGGGAGAATAGTCTGAGTTTGAACAAAATAATTTATTTTTAAAAAAATTTATAAATAGCAATCAGGAAAGTGTTGAGACGCTTGATTTGTTTGGTGAAATACTAAAAGGTAATGAGGACAATACTTTTGAAAGAAGAGAGACTAACTGAAGGAAAAATATGCAAAAATCCGTAAAAATTAATAGACAGTAGTAGTGAAAATACTTTCGAGTTATATAGTAAACTGGCTGAAGTTAGAAATATAGATACCGATTCAGTAGTGTGAAAGATAAGTTGTCAGCGCGATATCTAAAGATAGCGAAGGTCGTGGATTGGGAGCACCCAGAGACGTACTAGGACGAGACAGCTGTTCAGTGTTTTCTAACCAAAGTTAGTTTGTGATGTGAAACTCCGATTTATGCTCTTGATATGAGCAGCGAAACAAAGAAGCTGTGACAAGCAACGTAAGCTACTTTTGCGGACGTTATTTTGTTTAATTCAAAGCTTTTAAAACACTAATATTTACTTTTGTTCCTAGTTTATTTTACAAACCATAAGCTTTCGTTTGGTGTATGGTTCACTGCCATACCCCTTTTATCCCAAAGCTATTGTGATTTAAACGTACCCTAATCCCCTGTTTTGGACACAACTGTATTTTTCTAATTGTTTGTGCGTTGTGTTTTTGATTGCTACCTATTTATTCATGTATCGTTTTGCACTAATCTGAATCGGAGTTGGGAA